ATGATAATGTGTGTATACAGCAATTAAGTGTGAAGGTGCTGGGGGCAGAAAACTGAGAGGCCATATGATAGACATGGTGCTCCTTCCTGGCAGACCAGTTTCAGTGACAATTAGGATATCATTTTTACATTAAAACAGTTTTACTATGGATAATGCAAAATTCGCTTACAATTTTAAAGCTAGAACTTGAAATTTCTTATTAGTGGTAAACTTCTGATTTTGCTCTCCTCCCCGTTTCCCCTTCCTTCATACTTCTGTGCTTTAGGGTTTGTTGGTGGAAAAATCTGAGAAGCAAATTCTAGATATGTCACTTTGTTCCTGTCTTGGTCACTTAATTCATTTTTGTAGGTTCTCTTTTCAAAGTACATAGTGTTGAATTAGCAAAGGGGAAAGATGACTTGGTGAATGTAATAGTGTAATGAGTATTTGAAGATAACCAATGGTCAGCACTAATTTGGGTTCTCACTGGAACTAAGGTGAAGAGTCAGACAATGAGCCAATGGTTCTTCTCTCCATTCAGACGCCCCATAGCTTATGGTAAAATGCTCTGAGAGGCAAAAGAAAAAAGATTTCTTCAAATGTGCTCTGACTTCCCAAAGTACAAGGAAACCCTATATAAAATGCTAGATTAATTGACTATTTTGGTTACCGTGACTTTCCTCATCAATTTCTAGAGTAAGCTCAGAAAACAAATGAATTGTAAAAGGCTGTAATAAATTAACATACAGTAGTAAACAGACAGACCAAAAACAGACTATGAAAATGCTTTAAAATTACTTCTTACAATGTCTTAAATATTCTGAGAATAATAACAAAAAGTTCACAAATGAATAGTTTATGTATGAATAAGTAAAGCTTTCTGAATGAATACAGGTAAGATTTCTTTTCAGTGAGGTAACAAGGTAATAACTTTTCACAGTAACAAAATGTGGAAGAGTGCCTAGGGAAAGAAGGAGGTAGAGCGATAAAGGAATAAAATTAAATGTATCCAAGCAGAATTTGGATTTTTCAAGCATTACAAATATCAATAGAAAACATTTGGAAAAAAATCTAATAGCAGCATTTCATAAAATAATTTCTCCATCAGACTCCAGCTAACATCTATGCTGATTATTTCCAGAAGAATCTGGCTTAAGAAATGGGAGATCTATTTCCTACATGCAGGTATTCCAAAGTATCCAAACCCTCAAAACCTCTCTTCTGAAGTTACTGTATCCAAATATTAATTATTTATATTTAAAGTAGAACCTCAAATGTCCAGAAATGTCATACATTCTTTAAGATGAACACAACTGTGTTCAAGTCTCACTTAATTTTCAAGGTCAAATTAAAAATAACATCTAAGCAGGTTTTTAATCATTGCATTGAACATCCACTATTCAAAATACACAAAAATTATTTTGTGAACTAAATTCTTCTAGATATGGAGTGAAACCCAAAAGTTACTATTAGTGCTCTTTACAACATCATTCTTGTTCCAACCTGAATTTTTAAAAATGTCTTGGAAGAAAGGAACTTTAAAAAAGCCACTTAGTATATCCCTTAATATCTATTTTTTTCACTCAAAAGTAAAAGATTTCAAATGGGAGTTCTTATGACAGTTTCTCCAAGAAGTTTTTAACTTTGAAACATTTCATGTCTTTTTTTGGGGGAGGCAGTGTCCACTGTGCAGCCAGACTGGTGTCAAACTAATAACCTTCGGCCTTAGCCTCCTGAGAGCTGGGATTATATGTGTGTGCTCATCTTTTTCTTGTTATTCTTTTAAATGCTTATTTCCTCTGGACTGTCCTCACTAGAGACAGAACAGTGTGGCATTCCTACTTCTTACTTTGAGCCCTTCAAAAGCCTGGATTAGTAATTTAAGGACTTAGTAAATGACCTCAATAGCTTTTTCTTCTTCAGAGTTAAATGATCTTAATTCCTTGAACCTTTCCTCAGAGGTCGTGTTTCCAATCATTAGTTTATTCTTGTTTATTTCTGCTCTATCTCCTCCTGAGTTCTCACATGATTTTGACACAACATCCTAACAGGAATTGAGCCTATAATAGGAAAACTTTTTCTAGCCTCCTAAAACTTGGCTTCTTTTTAGTGATCATTACGAAGGAAAGCAACAGGTTCACTATCTGCTCATCATAACAACAAATACAAATGAACAACCTTGCACCCAGTGTATTTCCTATTTTAAATGGTGTTAGGTTTGTCTTTCACAAGAAGCATTTCCTGTGCTGACTTTACTGGTCTTTATATTGTTTCTTTATTTCTACTTCCAATTTATGCTTTGATCTTGTTCTAGTAATTCTTTTCTTTTTCCTTTTTAACTTCTTCCTTTCTATCTTATTTTTGGTGATGATGGGGATTAAACTCAGGTCCTTGCACATGCTAGGCAAGCATTCTACCACTGTGCCACACTCTCAGCCTAATTCTTTTCCATAAAGCTCTACAGAATACCAGTTTTGACTTACATGCTTAAGGAGAATGCCTGCCTTCATTTCCAAGCTGTTGTTCAAAAAAAGAAAGAGATGAACAATGTAGTGCTCAAGACTGACACCTATAAGCCAGCGCCCTTACCTCTTGGGCTATCACTGAATTTTTCCTGTTAGGCAAGTGGGGTCCCTTTGTGTCAAGTCCATGTTAATTATGTTCAGACAGACCCAAGAGCTTAGAAAGAAGCAAAACAGTTCCCTCAATCTACAAACTTTGGGAGCCTTTAAAAATTTTCATTAATTTTAACTTTGGACTTTAAATTTTTGAGATAAGAATCTGAACTTCAATAACTTCTCACCCTGATTAAAATGGCTTACATGTTGCATTATATTAAAGCACTCAAGTAAAACTGTTCTCTTAATAAGAGAGTGACAACTGTGACATGGCTTTGGTGATTTTGATGGGTTGTCCTATCACTTTAGCGTCATTTTGTTCTTCAGTCACTGAAACAGACACTGCAACCAAATATATGTCTTTCATAGAATGAGTTTGTTCACGCCACTCTGCAGAATAGATGCCACTTCCAAAATCATAATCTACATTCCTAATGACAATAACACAAAAATGTTCTGTATATTTTTAAAAAGAAAACAAGAATTTCTATACATTTCTTTTCCAGAGCAAAGGCTTCGAAAACAAGCATGGAAAAATGGTTGTCTATATTTAGCTAACTATCAAATATAGTCAGTCATATGAGATCCAGCTATAATAAAGGAAGGAAAGAACAAATTAACAATAGTGGCAATACAACAAATTGAAATTTATGTTTGGATTATATGAGCTCAACAAATGTTAACTGATAGCTGCAACAAACCAAACTATAATTTAATTAACATTCTAATCAGTTCAGAGTTTATGTTTTTATGTTTAGGAAATAAATTACCATCTACCAGTGCTCTCTCCTATAGGCAATTTGTTTAAATGATTACACCCAAAGCTCTGTTACTGTTAACTCCTGACCACACCACGTGCATTCTGCACACTATACAGGATAAGATGCACTTTAAGAAGCTGAAATGGCACTTCTCTTTTCAGAAGACTCAAGAATCAACCAAAAGTGACTTTCCTAAAAATACTTTTTTCCACATTAAAGAAAAGATAAATAGCACTCATGTGATCAGAAATTCTACAGAAGCCAGCAAGATGTTAGAATAAACTGGACCTTAGTTTTAAACAGCAGCTTTAACATTTTGTAATACTTAAAATCTCCCATGTAAGTACTAACCAGGTCCAATCTCTTTAGCTTCTGAGACTGAGTACATTCAGGGTGATATGGTTGTAGAAAATACTTAAAATATTGATGTTCTATTTCTTAGCAAAATCAGCTTACTTCATCAGATAAAAGAATAAATTTACTTACAAAAATGTAATTGAAAAGTTAGACTGTCAAATAAATTCAGCGTTCATTCCTCAGTTCAGATTTTTTTCCTTGTATCTATACTGATAACTTCATTCTAACATGAAGACTCTTAATTACACTTACATCAAGCCTGCTTTTTATTAAAATCTTCTATAACCATGGGATTTTTAAAGTCAACAAATACATTTGATATAAGGAAGCACCTATATAGTTTGACAGATTTTTCCTTAACTATCTGAAAATTGACTGATAAAATTATACTCACTGCAGGAGCATTGTTTCAGTTAATACAGACCCTGAGAAGGCACTGAGAAATTTGACAAAACAAAGCCAGTAGGAGTATTGCCACTATTGTTTTCTGTTCAGTAAATGTAGAGTCTTAAATACAGACAGTAAATATTCACTGACCAAGAAACACCTAAAATAGAGGTGGTAAAACCACTTATTGTAACATTTGTCCTAAACTACAAATGCTAAATACTTTTCAGAAATACTCTATTTTTAAGACAGGGGTCTCACTATATAGCCCAGACTGGACCTTGAACTTTGATCCTCCTGCCTCAGTTTCCAAGTGTGGGATTACAGGCACGTACCACCATGCCGTTTCTAATTTGTAAATCAGTATCTATCATGTAATAATGACACTTTTCCATAATGATCTAGGAACATTCTTTTCTTTCTACTTTTATGGATTAATTTCCTTAACATACTCTATAATTACATAACATTTATTTGCCTTGAACTTTTGATCCTCCTGCCTCAGTTTCCAAGTGCTGGATTACAGGCACGTACCACCATGCCGTTTCTAATTTGTAAATCAATATCTATCATGTAATAATGACACTTTTCCATAATGATTAGGAACATTCTTTTCTTTCTACTTTTTATGGATTTAATTTCCTTAACTAACCCTATAATTATATAACATTTATTTGCCTTTTTTTTTTAAACCATGCAATATACAATTACAAGACATGGAACTAATCTCAATCACACTTCAATAAGAAAACTCATTTTTGTATTGTTGTTTGTGTTGAAGGAAGAATGATATGTCACTGTACCACTTTTAATGTAACGAGTTTCATGAAAAGATATGAATCATATCCCTCCAGATATTTTCATTTCAAATTTACACAATTTGTTTAGTCATCTGAACAAAAGGAAAAAGATACTTAGCCAGAAGAGAGAGAGAGAGAAAGAATTCTAACACAGGTTCAATGCATGGAGTTCTTGGACACTGTTCCTTATGCCGGTGCAAAGTCATAGCACGCTAATGTGGCCCTACACAGACCGCCAAGTCAGTCCGTTCTTACTGGGCTCGAGAAAATTCTCTATCAGAGCTTCAATGAGATTCTTCAATTCTTCTTCCAGTAAGGCAGTGTCACTGAGGAAAAAGAGGAAGAGTTTTGAAATTCTTTATTTTCATAGACTTAACATTTGTTTAAATTAATTTTACTTTTTAGGAGGTCTATACTTGATGGGATGATTAAGTAATTGGTGAGCAAAAAGAAAATTTACTCAGTTAAAGCAAAATGAAACTCCCTCAAAAAATCATGCATAAAGAAAATACTAATCATAAACTGAAATTGAACAGCTTTAATTGGTGTTCCTTGGCACATGACAAAAGATGAGTTTATAGTAAGTCCAAAGAATTCTCCCAGGTTAGGGAGAATAGCTTTCAACACTAATACTGGTATTATAGTAAAATGACTTCCTGAAATACTTCCTGAATATAGGTGTTATATAGAATAACATGACCTATCTTTCAGGTATCAGAAGGAGGTATGGTTAAAAGAGTGAGATATTTTAGGGTAGGCGCCAGTGGCTCATGCTTATGATCCTAGCTACTTGTGAGGCAGAGATCAGGAGGATCATGGTTCGAGGCCAGCCCAGGCAAATAGTTTGTAAGACCCTATCTTGGAATTACCCAACACAAAAAAGGGATGGTGGAGTGGCTCTAGTGGCAGAGCACATGCTTAGCAAGCATGAGGCCCTGAGTTCAAACTCCAGTATTGTCAAAAACAAGGAAAAGGAACAAAAATAATGAGATATTTTGAAAAGTAACTACACACTTTTCACATAAGCCCTTGAAAATCACCTTTGAGGAGCTGCTGTCACCCAAAACATTTCTAGGAAAGCTTCTTTTAAACTGCCTTCCTAGTCATTTTACAAGCTACACAACAAATCAGATGTTTAGTAATTATCTTTCATTTTAACCAAATATATCATTACCTGATTTGGTTAAGTTTAAACTCTGCTCTGATTGACATTGGGAAATCTTCCTTCCCCTCCCTGAATGGAAATAAAATCCTAACATAACGATCTTGGGAAATGTAAAATAATGTACCCTTATTAGACTCTGAAGACAATTTAAAAATATCGTCTTCTCAAAAATATACTGGTCAATATTATAGGAGGTACTACTTTTAATAAGATTAACAGTTTTCAGTATATTTATTAAATTGATTAACAATTTGTGACAAATTAGTTATAATTCATCTGCTTAAAAGGAAATGAAGTGTACATTTTATGTTAAACCATTTTAGACACAGAAAGCAAATCTTTGGCAATAAACAGGTTATTTGTTCATTATTTCTTTATGCTCATCACATAAAAGTTAAAGCCTAGAGAGTCTTCCCAAGAACAGAAATTCACTACAATTTTGAAACTCAGTTTCCAAATGATGAATCTCCTTTGGAAAATTGTCTGGTAATTCCTCAAGAAGTTAAACATGACCCAGAAATTCCACTTCTACTGTGCTCACAAATATTCGTAATAGCCCCAAGTGTAAACAACCTCAATGTCCTCTGACTGATTAATTAAAAACATGATATATCCATCCAATGGAATATTTTGGGGTCAAAAATAATTTTTAAAAATTATGGATGAACATAGAACGCATGCTCTTCAGTCACAGAGGACTGTATTTCATTTATGTTATGGAGTGAATTTAAACGTTCCCCACAGACTCCTGTGTTGAATGCTTGGTCCCTAGCTGGTGGCACTATTTTGGGAGGTGGTGGAAACTTTAGGAGGTGGGGCCTAGCTGGAAGAACTAGGTCATTGGGGGTGCGCCTTGGAAGGTTATAACTGACTGGTCTCTCTTTTTCTTTCAGTAATGGGGCCAGTCAACAATGGACTGAAATCTTTAAATCTATGAGCCCAAATAAATTCTTCCTCCCTTAAGTTGTTTACAACAGGTGTTCAGTCACAGTGACAAAAAGTCTGACTGATGCACATCCAACATAAGCAAATCTACAGAGAAAGACAGTAGGTTGGTGATTGCTTAGGGTTGTGTGGGAGGGAAATGGGAAGTGATCTCTAACAGGTATGAAGCTTCTTTTTTTTTTGCCCCCCAGTGGTCTTCAGGCTGGAGGTGTGAAGCTTCTTTTGGGGGTGATGAAAACATTCTAAAAGTGATGCTTGCACAGCTGGAATGTATTAAAAACCACTGAACTATAGATTTTAAATAGGTGAACTGTATTTTATATGAATTATATTTCTTTTTTTTAAGTTTGACATTTTCTTTTTTAAATTTTTTTTTAATTGTGCTGGGTGGGGGGTACATTGCTGCATATACAAAAGTTATTACAATATATCAATATATCATACTTGAATTCAATCCTTCTACCATTCTCCTTTATCCCCCTCTCCCCATTCCTGGAACAGTTTCAACAGGTCTCATTTTTCCATTTACACACATTTATGCACAGATATGCACTGTATTCACCCTCCCATGCCCTTTCCCCACCTCCTCCCTGCTCCCACTGGCACCAACACCCAACCCCAGGCAGGACCTGGTTCCACCCTCCTGTTCTCTGATTTTGTAAATGAAAAAAAATGACATTTTTGTTTCAGATAGCTACACAGGGAGCTTCCTTGTGACATTTCCACATATATATGTATTATAACCTGAACAGGTTCATCTCCTCTACTTTTCTTCTTTCTACCTTAGTCTCCCTTTTATGGTGGCTTCAACAGGTTTAAAAATTCTATATAATGTGAATTATATTTCAATAAAGCTTTTAGACATACATCTAAAAAAATCAATTCTCACCTCTGGCCAGGTGAGAAATGCACACAGGTGAGAGATGCACACATCTCCGCATAATACTTTATCTTTGGTTCTGTCCCACTTGTCCGAAGAGTAGCAACACAGCCATTTTGAAAGGTAAATGTAATCATTTGACTGTTTTTACTCACAGGCAGTACCTATGGAAAATGAAACAACAACTTAATTACAGCTATTGTTTTCATTTTCAAGAATTATGAGCTACATTCACTTACACAGAAACAAAGTAGAACAGTGGGGATGGAAAGATGTTGTTTAACGAGTACCTTTAACAAAGTGGAAGAGTTCTAGAGATGAGTTGAACAACAATATGAATACGCCTAACACTACAGATATACGGAAGTATACTAAAGATGGTGAAGATGGTAAATTTTATGTTACTTTTTTTGGGGGGGGGAGGTGTTAGAACTGTGATTTGAACTCAGAGATTCAAGCTTGCAAAGGAGGCGGTCTACTGCTTGACCATGCCTCCAGTCCATTTTGCTCTGATTATTTTGGAGATGGGGTTTCACAAACTAGTTGTCTGGTCTGGCCTCAAACTGTGATCCTCTTGACTTCAGCCTCCCAAGTAGCTAGGATTACAGGCATGAGCCATCAATGCCTGGCTGTTATGTGTTTTTGACTACTAGAATTTTTTTCAGCTTTTCTTTGCAGGAGGGGACACAGGGTCTTGTTATTGTAGTTCAGGTTGGCCCTGAATTCACGATCCTCCTGCCTCAGGTTCCTGAGTGCTGGGATTATGGGTGTGCACAACAGACCTAGCTTTTTAAAAATTATTTTAATTAAAAAAGAATTATAAAATATGGAAAAAGTTTATATACATAATGATTTACAAACATACCATTTACGAACCCTCACAACAGTCCAACAATTGGGTTATATACTTTATATATGTGATCTCTGGACCTTAATGATAATCCTGTAAGTCAGTATTACTGCCATTTTATAGACAAGGCTCAAACAGATGAGAAGGCCTACTCAAGACAATCGGCTAAATGGTAGAGCAAGAAGTACAAATTCCAAGTTGGGTGTTGTGGCACACGCAGGTATCCTTTGCTACTGAGGAGGCAAGGCAGTTGGATTGCAAGTTTGAGACCAGAACAGACAAAGTTAATGAGATCCTATGTCACAAAGTAAAAGGCTCATTGTAGTGGTTCACACCTATAATTCCAGCTACTCAGGAGGCAGAGATCAGGAGGATTGTGGTTTGAGGCTAGACTGGGCAAAAAGTTAGTGAGAACCCATCTCAATCAGTAAACTGGGTGTGGTGGCATGTCCTAGTTAAACAGAAAGTCATAAGTAAAAGGTTGTATAAGTCAGCCCAGGCAAAAAATGTGAGATTCTACCTAAAAAAATAAAGTAATAAAGGTCTGAGGGTGTGGTTTAAGTGGTAAGCACTGTCACAGTTTCTCAATGGTTTTCCAAAGAGGAATTGTATATAGCCTAGTGGATCTTAAAGATAATAGAGATGTAGAAAAATACTTGTATTTTCTTTTACCTTTTTAAATGTATATTTACCTTTTAAAATTAAAAACATCGAAAACAAATGGAGCTTTACTGACACTTAATAAATAGATCAATGCAAGTTCTTTTCCTAGTCTACATGTCAGCCTGTTCAGGTATCTCGATGGCTTATAGGACTGTACTGTGACAGAGCGGATGACAACAGTATGTTCCCTCGGGTGTCCCAGGACTTGGTCCTGTCCTTCTCTCAGTCAGTGCACTATCATAAACCAGCTGCTTGAAACAGATCTTCTTCTTTCTCTTTTTTTACTCACAGACAGACCATTGTACTGCTATTCTATCTTTAACTCAACTTTGTCCAATTCTCTCCATCATTATTGTGACTATATTAAATTCAGACAGACTGCTGCCCTTCCTCACCAAGACTTCTGAAACAGCTTAGTAACTGATATTCCCACCCGGAAATTTGCATTTTGTAACCCACTCACACGGCTATTCTTCTTCTTACCCCAAACTGCAGTTATAGACAACCACTTGTTGTTCTCTTGAGGAGATATGCCTTCCACTGCCAAACCTTGCACTTACTGCTCCCTTTGTCAGAATCACTCTCTGCTTCTCCTGCATCAGGGAAACTCCTAATGATACCTGACAACTCCACTTAGGACAGTCTCTGTAAGAGGGCTTTCCTATGCTCTTCGCTGACACCCTATGAAGCCCCTTAGCATTTAACAGTTTGTAAAGTGATTGTTGTTTAGTTGTCTATTTCCACCTGAGCTCTTTCTTGAGTGCATAAACCATGCCTTTGTCATGGATGTATCCCTAGTGCACCTGGGTTATGACACAGTAGGGTTTTGATAACTGACAGATGAACATCAATTCTGAAATGTAGAGAAGAGAAAATTCAGGAAGTTTTTGACATTTATCATGTGCCCTTGGTGATAACAACATCTATGCTTTACAAAGTTGTTGTAAACACTAAAGGAGAAGAGATGAAAAAGCACCTTAACTAATGAAATGAGATTCAAAGAGCATGAAGAGGAATAAACCATCATGAAACATTAGAGAAATAAAAAGGAGCTAAAGATTTTATTCAGGCAATCCACAAAGAAACACACACACAAATGCATGCACGTGTACAGAAATATAGAATACCAACAACAGGGAACCAATATTTGTTGATTAGATGAATTTGCAAAAAATGGAATATATATAGTATTTTACACAAGAAGTTATAGACTTCCCAAAATACACTATTAAAATTTTGAGAAAATATCAGAACATTACAAAGAGAAATTTAGGCTAATAATCATCATTGTAACAATAACGAAATTAATATGATAAGCAATCTACCATGTATAAACATTTGTTGAGCACCTACCATATAGGCAGGAACTTTGAGAGACATAAAGGTAGATCAGAAATGGACCTGCCACATACAATACAATGATAGCATAAATACAAAAAAATGACACACATGTAATGCAATCCCACGAGGAAGGTATCTGATTATGGGACTTGGAGGTCATGTGGAAGAGGCAGTATTTGCCTGAAGTGTTTTTTGCCTCACACATTCTAGGCAAGTTTCTACTATGGCACTGTACCCTCAGCCCTTGCCTTAAGTCTTAATGCGAGGTATGAACCTATTGCAGTAGGGAGAAAAGGTGAACTAAGCAAACAACTTGACCAAAAATACTGAAAAAAGTTAAAGATGTATGTAAGTGCATGTATGTAAGAAACTATAAGTTGTTCTGTTTGGCTACATGTATAAGGAATAAGGTTGGAAAGGGAAGTGAAAAATAGAAAAATGCATGGCTGTGAAACGTAAGTGTTTAGACTTTATTTTCCACATTATTAAACATCATTTCACATTCTTCCCCTCTTTTTCTTTCTCTCTTTCCCTACCCCATTCCCTTTTGCCTTAGGGTAGTATAAGTGATTATTTGGGGAGTGACAAGTGAATGTCAGAGTCAGAGAGACCAGTTAGTCCATTTAATAAAAACTACTCTCAAGAAAAACAGTGGGTCTTACTCAAAAGAACCTCACAGGCTTGAAGTTACACTATTTTACTATAATATGAATTATTATAAACTGTTAAAAGCTTTTCTTAAAAACTAGGTACTTTTACTGGATGTCTATAATCCTAGATATTCAGGTGGTAGAAGTAGGAGAATTACAAGTTTGAGGCCAGCCCAGGTGAAGGTAGTGTGAAACTCTGTCTTGAAAACAAAATAAAAACAAAAGGGCTGGGAGCATAGCTCCAGTGGTAGAGTGCTTGCCTACCATGTGCAAGACTTTGGGTTCAATCCCAAGTATAAACAAACAAACAAACAAACAAACACATACATACATACATATATACATACATACATAAAGAATTTTCAGGAGCTTCTAGGCTGGTGGCCACATGGACTTGCTGGGAGGGTAGTGTGCCCAGACAGGGCATAGAGGTTCTACCCTCCCCCCACCTCTACTACCTTGTCCTATTCATCTCTTCCATCTGGCTGCTCCTAAAGCATAACCTTTATAATAAACTAGTAAACACAAGGAAACTGGATTGAGCCTTATGTACCACCTGTGCTACCTCTAGACTTTTTGGTGACATGAACTATTAAATTTTCTTTCTTGCTTGAAAAACAAAAGAGGTACTTACTGATTGCTTATTAGGCTGGCTGCTGTCATATCCAGTGGTAACATCCCGTATATGCAATATTGCAAATTTCCCACAAAATTTTGGATATTCTTTTGGAGACTCAAAATTGCGAAGCCTTTCAAATATATTTTTAATGGTAGGTGGATCATAACACAAGAAATAGGAAGTTTTTGACATGTGATAACCATATCTGCACAAAGATTTAAAGTGCTAAAGTCAGATTTCAGGTAACTGTTTAGAAATGTACATATTAAAGATAAGTCTATTATAATATTTATAGAAAGCAGTTGTCCCTGATGCAGACAATTTTAATACTTAGAAAAATGAACTGACTGCTCCTCCTGAACAAATTTAGAATTTAGGGCCAGAGAGAGAGAGACAGAGAAAGGCACTGAGAAAGAGAGAGAGAGAGAGAGAGAGAGAGAGAGAGACAGTATGCAAAATTTATAACAGAACTCACTTTTCATAAACTTTACTTAGTTGCTCCTTCAATGTTACATTACTGGTTTCCAGGTAAGAGGCCATCTCAGCAATGACAACAGCCGCACTCACCCCATCTTTATCCAAAACTGAGGTTCCACACAGAAAACCTAAGGATTAAAAACATCTTTAGAAAAAGGGAAAGCGGACTGGTGGAGTGGCTCAAGTGATAGAGCACTTGCCTACCAAGGCTGAAGGCTTGCACTGAGTTCAAACCTCAGTACTGCCAAAAAAAAAAAAAAAGAAAGAAAGAAAAGAAAAAGGGAAAACGTAACCCTACAATTTCAATAGTTTTACATTTCTTCAGAGGACTAGTGAATTTAAGAGCCCAGTGGTAAACTGGGCATGTAATCCCAGCACTTAAGAGGCTGAGGCAGGAGGATGGCAAGTTTAAGGTTAGCCTGGGCTATATAATAAGACCCTGTCTCAAAACAAAACAAAAACAAAACACCCGAAAATAACAGAAAACACCAAGTCAGGTGCAGTGGCATGCTTGTAATCCTAGCTACCTGGGGTTCGGAGATTGGGAGAACAGTGGTTCCAGGCCAGCCTGGGCAAAAAGCTTATCAGACCCCCATCTCAACCAATAAAAAGCTGGGCACAGTGGTGCACACCTGTCTTCCCAGCTATACAGGAAGCATAAACAGGAGGATTGTGGTCTAGGCTGGCCTGGACATAAATGTGTGTCCCTATTCAAAAAATAAAGAAAGCAAAAAAGGCCTAAGGGTGGCCCAAGTGGCAGAGCACCTGCCTGGCAAGCACAAGGCTCTGAGTTCAAAACCCAGTACCACCAAAAACAAAACAAAACAAAAAACCCCCACAAGAGCCTAATAATAGATGAAACCCATCAATACTGAATGTATTTAGGGCACCTTTAGGCTCTTTTTTATGATGGAAAATGCATCTACATATTTCTGCAGTTTTTACAACTCAACTCCTGGTTTTAAAACCAGAAGGAAAAAATTCCTCTGTACAGAATTACCACATTAAAAAAATTGTTCCCAATCAAAATAAAAGATTTCAATATTTACTACCTACCAATAGACTCTTCAAATGCAAAAAGGACTTCTTTTCCCTTTTCCAGGAGGTCTTTTATCCTGCTTCCAATCCATTTAAAGCCTGGTAATGTTTCCTGAAATGCAGAGGAAGCCACTCTAGTTAAGTGACTTTCTCATAAACACATGTTAGAGAAAAGCCTATTACTAAGTGCACATAACACTTGCATAGTGATCATCTGTTATGGTTCTTAGTCCACAAAGATCAATATCTTTGTGGTAGACATATAGTCACATAGGCCATAACTGCTGGCACAGAAATAGGTGATTTATACCAAATACAATCCAATGTAAGTGGTGATAAATATACTTACAAAGTAAAATGCATACACATATTATGATCATCTACAATTTATTAAGTATTATAATAGGTGCTTTACATAATTATCTTTTCTAAGGCTCAAAACACTGTCATTATAATAGAGGCTGAGAAGTTAAGTAAATTTTCCCAAGATGGTACACATACAAGACACAGAAGCAGGGTTCAATTATACTGCTTCCTTGAAACTGTCCTTTAAGCTGCACAATAACCACTAATATGAGTGTCTTTATGGTTTAGTCTCCCCCAAGTAATCAAAAGCCCTTACACTTTTAGTAATATAAAATTATCAATACATAGGGTTGAACCGAATATATCTGTCCTTAATGCTGTGGACTAAATAAAGTCACCAAGACAGTTACTAAGGCCTTCTTTAGTAATTAGATTTGAGGGTTTTTCATGTGAGCTACTGTTCACTTTAAAGACATGTCCTGTTCTAGTCAACAGAAAGAGCATGAGGCAATTAATTCTAGAGCATACCATCACTAACATAAGTTTCCTAACTCACTTTTCTACCTCCTCATCAACAACTAAAAACAAAAAAAGCCAACAATACCCCAACAAAAACAAACAAATTTATAATATTGGTCTTTAGAATAATGTTCTTTTTTCTGCTTTCTGCTCATGATATATTTTTCTTGCTATAAACAAGGAAAGCATTAACATTATTATAACTCAGAATCTTAGGCCCGAATAAAATTTCCATTTTGCTATTTGTGTTTTTGAAAGGTTAATATTGAAAGCTCTATGTCATAAAAATAAGTACAATTTTCTTTTATTTTTCCAATTAGTACTAAGATATGGAGGCTGACTATAGCTTAAGAAAAATGCACAGAGGTGACACTTGCACTGAATATTTGGCAAATATAGCAGAGGAAAACACCTTAATTGACATTAGTTCAAGTAATTGTAAATATGACCACTAACTGCTGAAGTTCACGAAGGTTAACGATCTGGGCTGAGAGAGAGTTGCTACTTGGTTTTTTTTTTTGGGGGGGGGCGTATAGAATCATTAGCTCTTAATTTGCAACTTAGAAGTCCACTTAAAGTAATAAATCTTCATACTGTGCTTGAAGATTCTACACAAAGGGTTAATGATATCTAAAAGTTTTTGGAGTGGAGTCTGTGTTACTGATGAGGTCACCAAGAGTCAGATTTTCCCAGTCTAAAAACCAGATACTGTCGTATGGACTAAGAATTGTTACTGTAATTTTTAAGGAATATTTTATCTTAGAGATTCACATACTGAAAGAATTTGTATCAGAGTGTTCAAATTATCCAAAACACTAAGCAAATGTAAGCAGAATAGAAAAATGGAAGGATTATAAATAAAATTGGTTTTGGTTGAGATGTCTTTACAGAAATAGGTTTAGAAATAGCATATATACATACATGTATAACAGATATGACCTATTCTTACTTCAAAATGAAATCCTTCTTTAAGTGCAATTGCCTTCAAAATTTTAGAAGAGACAGTAGTGGCTAACATATAAACATTCTTCACATCAGCGTTTCTTGATCTATTCTTCCTCCAGCAATCAAACATCCACCATCCAAACAAAGCAGCCAACTCATTGCCTGTGAAAACTTTCCAACAATCACTGTAGAGAGAATGAACATTCAAAGTCAAGACCTTTGTAGCTTCTCATTTAAACCTCTTGACCTTAAGACCTTCAAATTACTATCTTTCAGACAGGAAAATCCAAAAAGCTGTTAGAAAATAGCTTTTTGAGAAAATATTTACTACTACTTCTTTTCTAATTGACCAGAGGTGACCTTTAGGGCAAGAATGGTTACAATGTCTTTTAGAAAATTACTGCATTGTTACTTTTATTCTTCTACTTAATGAGAAAAATTATGATGAACATTTAAGGCTATGCAAAGACATCTGCCACATCACAATGACAAAAATACACAGCAATCCAGAGGATCAAGATTAGGAAATTATAAAACTGATAAAGCAATCTATTGTTAATACTGTGCTATTTTTACAATTAATATTTTCAAACAATGTATAAAGACAGAGAAAAATGCTCATAGTACAACTGACATGGAAAATAGTTGGGATGTATTTTCACAATTTTATAAAAATGAGTACATCTTTGAGTAGAAAAAAGATAGAAAGGAAATGTCAAAATACCAGTTTAGGTGGTTATCTTTGGTTTAGATAAGATTTATGTTCTTTTCTTATATTTTTACTATTTTCAATGAATCTGTAAGACTTAAAATCAAAAACTGCTTTTCGAAGCTAAAGCTTCATACTCAAGCTACTTACTTCTCCTGAAGTTCTGCCACTGCCAGTCGATCTGCATCAGGATCTGTGGCTAGCACAATCCGGGCATTTTCTTTCTCTGCTAGTCTCAGAGAAAGTTCCTGAAATAGTAACCCAAAAAGCTAGATTATACTGAACAACCTACACAATGTTAGTATTCTCCAAAGTAGGTACTACATCAGTGCTAAGAATTTCAGAGGCATATAGATTGGCTACATTTAGAATAAGAAGCCTAGAACAAGGGCACCCACCATAGAGCTGTCAAACAAAACACAACTTACAGCTCCAATACAATTTTAAAAGATGCAAACTACAGTGATTTGCATGGAGTATGTAAGTAGGTAAATAGAGCATGTAAGTAATCTTTGAATTGTCAATGAACTCTGTCTATTCTGATGGCTAATAAACTAACAATAATTTAAACATTAAAAAATAAATAATAATTTAAATATTAGAAGAAAATGCCAGCACAGATTCTCCTTCTTCAGGGTTTGGGCATTTAACAGTAGAAAAGTCTGGATTAGGATCTTTTTGTTCTGGGACTGGAATTGGAGGCTTAAAACCAAACACTTGAAAAGCCAACTGCACATAGTCATGTCCAACTCCATGAAAGGATGTATGCACAAATTTTAAGGTGGTCTTTGAGTTTAATTCCTTGTAAAGGAAAATCACCATTCAATCACTATCATAAAACTTGTTACCTGTGATATATTTAAAAACATGAGAACTGGGTGCTGGTGGCTCACACCTGTAATCCCAGCTACTCAGGAGGCAGAGATCAGAAGGATCACAGCTGGGCAAATAGTTCATGAGACCCTATCTTGAAAAACCCTAAAACAAAAAATTGGGCTGGTGAATGGCTCAAGGTAAAGGCCCTGACTTCAAGCCCCAGTACCGCAAAAAACACCACCAAGAAAAACCACTTAAATTTTGAGAAAAAGTGGTTAGAGTTCTAAGATAGTTAAAAAACAATGTGATATTAACAGTATCAAGAGATTTTTATTTCTTGTGGTGCTAGGGATTAGAACCCAGAGCCCCACACATGCTAAGCAACTGCTCTACACTGAGCAGCCTTGTTCAAAAGATTTTTAATTCAACTGCATTCCCTTAGTGGTTCAACTTCCTGACCTGGTTTGCTTCCCTCCATATGCCGTGCCATTACCCTAACCAAGCCACTATCATAGGTCTTGTTAGAAACATCACAAAAACTTCCTAACTGGTCTTTCTCATTCTCCAGCAAAGAAAAGAAAAAAAGAAAGAAAAAGAAGAAAGCTCCTGCTTTCTTCTTTCATGACCAGCTTAGATTGCAGTACCTAATTTCCTTCACCTTTTATGTCACTTTGATTACTCTGACCCTCTAATGCCTCAACCTATATTGAACCCAATAATGTACCTTTTCTAGACCTGCACCAAAATTAGCTGAATATTGCTAGAGTAAATAGAATAAATCTCACAAAAAGATTGACTAGCTTCACTGTCAATGGACACTCAACATTGTCAGGCAACCCTAAATTGTTATCCAAAAAGCTTACTTTTTACTCTCCAAAATGATGTAATATCTCTTCTCCTTTAATTACATCATTGAGACACAGAAGCCATCTGATGAGATCTTCCTAAGTTTCCTACACCAAATCTACAGCCCACTGGCATCCATTCATATCTCTTCCTTCATCCATCCGACAACAATGAGGAAGTATTCTTCTCATAGGTCTGTCCTTCCATCTGGCCCCCATCTCCTCTCAAGAACATTAGTTACCCTCTCTCTCTGGCATCATCCCCATTAGCTTCCAGTCCAATTTCTTTGTTCTCTTCTATAGCCAAACTTTCTATATCCTTCCTTACATTTACTAACTACTCCCTGCAATAAATGTATTATAAAAAAAATTAAAAATTTATTATGACACTTTTCAAAATAGCCATATGGATAATACCAAACACTGATATACTCAACATCTTGCTTCAATGTTTTCAGCATTCTGTCAGTCTAGTTTCATTTATTCAAGACATCATATTACTTTATATAAGATGCTTTAGTATTTAAAAACATAGCCATAATAATAACCATTACCACATCTAATAAATTTCTTAATGTTGTCTAATATCTTCTCTGTATTCAAATTTTCTCCAGAAATTTATGTAAAAAATATTTTAACAGCGGTTTACTTGAATCAGGAGGGCCTAAACAAGGTCCACAACGTCTGGTTGCTATGTCTCTCAAGTCTTTTTTAACCTATAAATGTTCCTTCCTTCCTTCTCCAATCCCTATGTCATTTAATAAGCCAAATCATTTGCTCTGCAGACTGTTCCATATCTTGGGTATGCAGATTACATATTTTAAAAAAATATTAACATGCTCCTCTAACTCATATTTTTTGTAAATAGGTAGTTGAATATTGAGGCAACATTACATTCAATTCCAATTCTTTAGGCAAGAAGAGGTGTCATATATTTTCTATTGACTCACAAGTGGGGGCCCATAGTGTGAATCATACTTTTAATGATATAAAATTAATATTCATCCTGTCATCCTCATCCATCCATCATCAAATTTCCCATCGATTTTCACTTATGAGTCTTAGTAGCCCTTACTGATCATTGCTTAGATGATTACTGAGGTCATAAAATTGTGTATTTAATAGTTGGAATTTTGGGGCCAGGAATGTGGCTCAGAGCACATGCATGCTTAGCACGCATGAGCCCTGGGTTCAATCCCCAGCAAAGAAAAAAAAGTTGAATTTTCCTTTAAAAAATATTTTTTCCTTCAACAATTTTTTTAAGGAAGTACTGGGGTTTGAACTTAGGGTCTCACACTTGCTAGGCAGGCACTATACCACTTGAGCCACTCCACCAGTTCAACAATTATTTAATTAACTCTGAAATTCAGTTCACATGGCAAAAACATATGAAGGGGAACAAACATCTACCAATTTGCATAATGAAAATTCAGAATATATCAAATTTCAGAATGAATAATTTTCAGTCTAGCAACTCCCAAAGGTGACTAATGAAGAGCTTTTCTAGTATTACTACCAATTTTTGTGTTTAATGTCTTAATTCATTATAGTGATTGTTCTTTTTGATAGCCAACTGCTCAAACTCTGGTCAGTGCGAGCCCCTTCAGGTCGGCTCATCTATCCTCCCAGTATCTTTGATAGCTTTCTTGCTTTATGGCAGAGAGAGAGAGAGAGAGAGAGAGAGAGAGAGAGAGAGAGATCCCAGGCTCATTACCACTTTTTCCAAGGGTCCCTGGTTCCTTTTGGTGGGAAATGTTTAGAAGCCAAGATCTGTAAAGGACCTGTTACAAGTATGGCTTTCCCATCCAAGGGAGTCATTTTATTCCTTATCCATGTCCTTTCTTCTTACTTTTAAAAAGGCCATTAAAACTAATAAAAACCCTAGCAAAGACGGTCTATCCAGTATGATTTCTTTTCCCCAATTCTCTTTAAGAAAAACATTAAATATTTTACTCTGTTTTCAGTAGGTTTCCTCTGAGGCAAGATATAAACTGGATCTCAACCCACACTCAGTAGCCTGTAGTAGACACATCAAGCTTCAGGGGCCAACCAAAGCATCTTCTCCCCCAAGAACCAGGAGGCAAGAGACTATGAGATGAGCAGGGCATGTCTTTGAAGTGAAAGCTGTGTACAGTCTGTCTGCAGGGTGAACATTATAACCCTGGAATCTTCTCTCATTAGGCTCCAGTTTCAGCTTGAGGTCCTAAATCCATTTAAATCCCATTATGAATGCCATGGCCCTCATTCCTTTCACTTGTAAATACTTGGCTCTAATACTGACAGCCATTAGCTGTAATCAAGTGTTTTTCTTCTGCCATAAATATTTCCCTTTGGATTTACACCTATGGATGGAGAAAATGTGAAAGGAAGAGTAGGCAGACTTCCTTTACAATTTGCTTATATCTCTAAACACAAACATAGCATTGTTCTAAAAGAAATGATATAATAAATTCATTTAAATTAATTTGGAAACCCACACACATAGTCTGTGCTTTAAGGATACTCATAGCCTTTTTAGTAACCAAATTAGGATTTTAGAAAGAGGCAAATAAATCATGAGTACATACTATTATTTCAAATATAAATTTAAAATTATAACTTTAGAATTATTTTCAATTTTACATTTGCTTCCTTTCTGCTAAAATCTTAGTTCTTTTTTGACATTAACTATCCATTGTTTTAAAATATATATATATTCATTTATGTCTATAAAACTATCATTATTACAAATAATAGTAGTGATACCAAATACAATTTAAGGTTTGTTGGTTCTTTATACTTAGTGTATAACCCACTAGGAAAGTATAGTTAAATTTAGAGTCACTTGAAATCTTCTCTTAAGGGGCTGGCAGAGTGGCTCAAGCAGTAAGGTGCCTGCCTAGGAAGGTTGAGGCCTTGAGTTCAAACCCTAGTACTGTCTGCCCCCTCCCAAAAAAAATCTAATGTCACAGGAGGAAACTAACAATACTATGTTAAGTTTAAAAAACAAGTTGCAACTCAGTAGGCAGAGATCAGGAGGATCGTGGTTCAGAGCCAGCCTGGACAAAACAGTTTGAGAGATCCTATCTTGAAAAACCCAATCACAAAAAAGGGGCTGGTGGAGTGGCCTGAGTTCAAGCCCCAGTACTACAAAAAGGAAAAAAAAAAAAAAAAAGAAAGAAAAAAGCAAGTTGAAATTGCTTTCACATATATACTCTTTAAAAAGCAAAATATAAATGAACAAAAGATAGAAAAGAAAAAAAAAAGATCAAATTCTCTTTAGATTAATTGTAGCTAGTAGCATTCAGCTAGCATTATAGCCCACTTCGCATTTTGGAAGGAGAAGCAAACAATTGCTAGCTTGATGGGTTTACTTTTGAAAATAAATTAGATAAAAAGCTAAAATCTATTTTGAGGGTGGGGAAAATATATTCAGTAAACTAGAATTCTTCCCAGCAACAGTAGTAGCTATTTATGGAACAGTTAGGAAATACTTAAGAAACAATAAAATCTTAAAGAAAATTTCTTGATCTGACATAGAGTATTAAATATATATAGTTAAAAATAATCTGTTTAATAGTTTTATTGACCCTCATTTGTATAATGGTAGGCAATAAATAAATAAAAATAATTTACTGAGATAATTCACATACTGTACAATTCACCCACTTAAAGTGTATAATAATTTCTATATTCATAGAATTGTTCAACCATTACCACAATCATCTTTAGAACATTCTCATTACTCCCAAACTCTATACCCCGTATCTGCTACCTCTAATCTTTTGAGTCCTCCCAACCATAGGCAACTACTAATCTATTTTCTGTCTCCACAGATTTGTTCATTCTAAACATTTCATATAAATGGAATCATACAATATGTGGCTCTTTGTGACTTTTTTGTTTTTGGGTGGGAATGGGGTTTGAACTCAGGGCTTCAAGCTTGCAAAGCAGATACTCACAAAGAAGGCACTCTACCACTCAAGCCACACTCCAGTCCATTTTGCTCTGGTTATTTTGGAGATGGGGTTTCTCAAACTATTTGCCTGGGCTGGCCTTGAACCATGATCCTCCCGATCTTGGCCTCCCAAGTACCTAGGATTAAAGGCATGAGCCCCTGGCGCCTGGCTGTGACTTCTGTTACTTAATATGTGTTCTCAATGTTTATTCTTGTTATAATACGTATCAACACTTCCTTTCTTTTTACTGCTGAGTAATATTCCATTGCATGGATATATGTCACTTTTTATTTACCCATTGATCAGTTGATAAGACACTGGGTTACTTCTACTTTTGGTTATTATGAGTAGTTTAATTTAGCTATAATTTAAATATGATGATTAGAGAACATATTTCATCACCTATTATTCCCTATTAACTTTATCCTTAGGTAATACTACTCTACATTCCCACTTGGATACCTGTAAAAACAGATCTTTTTCAGATCTTCCATGTATTTCCTGCAAATGTCCTGCAGTGGATCTTTCTTCAGTGGACTGGTGTCCACTAAATTATCATTCCATGAACCATTCCAGGATTCCACACATTCTTCTATACATTTCAGAATCTCTTTATCATGAGGAGATGTGATTTGAGCACCAGTTTCCCAATAAACCTAGATGATAGGTAAATATAGCTATAATTACTTTAAATGCTTGTCATGTATCTGCTTAGCTACAGTAGTGATCTTCGGCCTTATGAAGCACATCAAATTAATCAAGTAAAAATATCAACATGAGACTAATTTAGTAATACCAAAAGATATTGAAGGTAATGACTTCACAGGGACTCATCAATCAAATAACCAGTTATTATTTCATTTTTTAGAATTTAATATTCAACTTGCTTTAATAACAATACACACAAATATAAGCAGGTATCATTATGGTCATACAACATGCATATACCAATAATGTGCAAGCATACTCTTAGATTTATAACTACATCCTAAAGACAATGTAAGAGACCATGAACTATCCCATAAAACTTCATGCTATTAAACGCAATGTTATAAATTGGTTCTATTATGTGACTTAGAAGAAATCATTCTTCCATTATAAATTAAAGTAAAATTTATTTATCACCAAATAAAGTATGTATCAGGAAAGCCAATTAACATGTTAATTTAGCCATATACATTTCGGTGAATTTTCAGTTTGTCAAGTAGTTTGATCAACAACAAGGCATTAGGAATAGTTACCAATAAAGCAAAAAAAAAAAAAGTAATTCTAATAATTCACAGGATCTCAAAGTCAGAAGTGACTTTGCTTAGAGGACATTATGCCAACTTCTACCATGTATATGACATGAAGCCTTGCTAATGCATCCCAAATGAAGGAATAAAAAATACATTTGAGTATGTACTGTGTACTAAAGTCTGTGCCAACAATATGGTAAACTAGATGACTTAAAATTTCTTGATCTTACTTATAATCATTGTGTCAACTGAAAATAAACAAATATTTTAAAAAATCTTGCTCTGTAGACACCTCAAAATGCTAGATAAAACAGAAAAAAATTACTTTAAATACGTAGCTTAATTCATAAGAGGAAAGGGAAAACTCCACGCAGTGGGGAAAATAGAAAGAATTAAAAATCAGATTGATAAACCTGTGGAGCTAACACTGTGGTTGCCTGGGGTTGGGGAATTGTTCGTTTATCTGGTTATAATGCCCATGCGCAAGGGAGGGAGTCAGAAATTAGGATAAAAATGAGATTCTTGATATGTTGTACTATCAGTGAAAACACAAAATAGAAACAGTTCTTCTTGCTACTATGGAGAGATAACGAGGAAATATGTTTGTTTATTCTTGGATTCTGGGTAATTAAAAAAATTCAAATTCAAAGCCTACATTCAGTTATTTTAGGATAAAAATTAATACACTAACACAGAAATTATTCTGAATCAGTAAATCCCTTTAGGTTCCAGCAGACATGAATAAACAAACAAACCTACTCTGGAGAGATGCTCCCATTCTACACACCCCCACACACAAAACGAGATTTTTCTCCGTAAGTACTAAAAGCTCACAGTGAAAATTTATTTAAAGAAATTATAAAACACAAGAAAAAATCCTGTATTTCCCCCTTCCTGCCTTGCATGTGGATTGATGCCTGGAGGTACAGCAACCATCATGAGATAGGCATGCTTGAAGGAAAGGCAAAAACAAACAAACAAACAAACAAAACCTGCAGAGGGCTGGGGTAGAGTATACAGTGCTTGCCTAGCACTTGTGAGGTCCTGGGTTAATCCCCAGCACACTGCAAAAAGAAAAATCCCAAACAATAATGAAACAAAATAAAACCCTGCAGAGACTTCATGCAATAAAATAGGCTCAGGAGCACTGTACTGGTTATTTGCAAGAGAAGTAGATTTGAGGGTATATGGGTGGGTGATCTGTGGGAATAAGGAAGCACTTTGGCTGGGGATAGGTGGGGATCCAGGGGCTGGGGGAAAAAACAAAGAAAGAAAAACAAAAAATTCACTCAAGGATAAACCTAAAGAGATGTGAAAGATCTTTAAAATTCTAACAAAAGATCTAAAAGAAGTCTTGAAAGACTAGAAAGACACATCCTATACTTGAATAGAGAGACAGAAAAATATAATGCTTTCTAAATTAATCTATAGATAAAAAATGACACCAATAAAAAATCAACATTTTATATATTTATATATAAATTTTATATATGTATGTATAATTTATATATATGTATATATAATATGCATACACACATTTTTTTTGAGATAGGGTCTTGCTATGTTACCCAGGCTGGTTTTATACTCCTGGGCTCAAGTAGGCCTCCCACCTCAACCTCTCAAGTGGCTGGGACTACATGCGGTAACTACCACACCTGTCTTGACCTATTTATATTTTAAAAGATCATCTAGCTGCCTTATGGAGCACAGATTGCAGGGAACAACAATGGAAGCAGGGGAGAGACCAGCTAGGATGCGGTAGTTCAGACAAAGGACAACAATGGTTTACAATGGTAACAGTAGACATACAGGCAGAGGTAAATACATTCAATGTGTGTTTTAGATACAGAGCTTCTAGAATTTGTTAGTAGATTAATGTTAGGGAAAGGGGGCAATTAGGAATGGTTTCTGAGGCTAAGCATGGTGTCTCATGCCTGTAATTCTAGTTGTCAGAAGGAAGAGGTAGGAAGATCATAGACTGAGGCCTAATGCGAGACCCTATCTGAAAAATAATTAAAAGCAAAAAGGGCTGGGAATGTTGTTCAAGTGGTAGAGCACTTGTCTAATAAGTGGTTTTTGTTTGGGTGGGTAGGATTAATTTACAGAGATGGGAAGACTATTTTTAGGTGTATATACAGCAGGTTGTGGGGAATCAAGACCTATGTTTCAAAAACACTAACTTTAAAATGTCTCTTAGACACCCCAATGAATATGTAGTAGGTGGTCGTATACAGGAAGCTGACGTTCAGAGAAGGCATCTGTGTTCTTAGCGCTCTTTGACAGTTGACCTCTAACTTCTTACAACTTTCCTAATCTCTTTGGTTTTTAATGATGCCAATCTCCTCTAGACTTTCTCTTATCTCTAGGTCCTCTTTTTTTCTTAAATTTCCTTTCCTTTAAAGTTAAAATTGCCTAGGGACTCATTTGTGATTTCTTTTCTTTCCACTCTGTACTACCTCTTGGCTATGCATCCAAGTCAAGGACTTCCAAATGTTTTTACATGTTGTAGTATGTGTGGTCACTTCAAAATCTATAACTTCAGCCCAGATGTCTCCCGAGTGACAGATCTACACATCTAACTGCCCATAACACACTGCTACCTGGTCAACCCACACATACTTCAAACTTCATATGAAGTTCAAACTAAACTACTTATGCTTATTCCCTATGCCTGTAAATGGCAACACTACTCACTTAGCTAGTCAGGCCCCAAATTTTAGATTAGTATTAAAGCTTTTTTCTAAGTTAAAAAAGACCTCAGTGTGTCTTGAGTCTTTCCATACAAGAAGAAAACAAGTCCATGAATATGGGCTCATCATTCAGAAGCCCCAAACACCTGCTTGATAATGTGCTACATGTCTTCTATTTGCCCCTATAGAGCCACAGTAATTTTCATCCTTCACCACTGTGCTTCCTGCCATGGAGGCTGACACAGTAAATGGATTCTGTGGCCCTTGGGGAGCCTGGACAGAAGGAGTGAGGTCAAGGAACTATCCAACTTTCTTTCTACAAATTCTCATTCATTCTTCACATTTTTTGGTACAATGTTATAACCTTATTTCTGAAATCATACAGAAGATATATTTGGGATAATGAAAGAGGAATCAAGGAAAAATAAAAGGCAAAAGACCAAAGAAGAGACCTGTGTAATTATACACATTGAGAAGTAGTAAGAGCCTTTAGGGAGTACTCCATTCTGTGAAGGCTGGCCTCGATGTTTTTATCTTTTTGTTCCCAATGTCTGACTTTGCTCCGAGTGTAGAAAACATAATTAGCATACATTATTCAAATAAAATAAGAGCTATAAAATAAGCGAAGGTCAGGAGTCCAAGGTTTACCTTGTACCCGTTGTCTTCCTTACGGTTGTGAGATGCAGTGATCATCACACCTGCAACTGCTTTGAGCTCCTGGACTGCATATGGCTGAAAAAATAATAGCAATTATCATCCCACTGTGCTTCCTAGCTACTTATATATTTGACATGAGACTAACCTGACTAAGTAACAGAAGATATTATGGTATAAATGACCTAAAACCTCAATTCCCCACTTGTTGGATAGGGTCCATTTCTAAAATATGTGGCTCAACAACCATCTAATTATATTTAGACTGAATTGCTTTTCCCCAACTTTCCTTTAGCTTAGTAGTATAAACAGTTCTTATTCTTTTGTTCATTTAACAATATTAATGACACATACTATATGCCAGACACTCAACCAGACCCTGGAGAAATGAATGGTGAAAACAATCATAAAGTATTGAAGTTGAAAGTAAATTTATAAATCACTTAATCCATCATATTTTACAATGAGGTTTATCCAACATTATAAATCATTAGGTAGAAGATTCAAAAGTAGAACACTTTTGTCTTCTAATTTGAAGATTTTTCTATATATTCTGTGGCCTCCATGTCACATAAGGGTCAACTCACTATCCTCTCTCCCACAGTTAATTCTCAGGTTTGATTTTCCTTTTTATCTGTAGTGGCTACTATTTGTCATCCTAGAATGTCTCCCCTACTGCTTCTACTACCACACCTTACTACTCTCTGGCCCACAGAGGTTAAAGTGGATGAACATGACCCAGGTCTCACCATAGTAGTACATTCCCTTGATATGATTCAGAAACTACCTCATAACCCAAGCCTGATCAGTCATAGTAATAAAAAGGTGTGAATCTGGGATTGCTAAAAACACCTTCCTTACCAGCTAGAGCGAATCTACCTGCAATAAGAGAAAAGCCAACACACTGGGATTGATGATGCTCGGAACTGGCAACTTGATGGCAGAATCTTACAGAGATGATCTAGATTTCTAGATCCTCCCTGTTTTTTATTATTTATTGATACCACTTTTTTCTTTTTCTTTCTTTTTTAAAGCAATTCAATTATTTGAGCTGCTTAATATATTGCCAATAAATCACTAGAACAGTCTATAGAGACATTATCTATTCTTCAAATATTTGGTAAAACTTATCTATAAAAATTTGAGAATATTTTAAAACTAACAACTCAATTTATTTAGTAATTATAGGTGATTCAGGGGTTTTTTTGTTTGGTTGGTTGTTTCTCATCAGTTTTGATGCATCCACTATCATTTTATGGAACTAGCCAACTTCATAAAATTTTTAACAAAGAAAACACTTTAGTTCTTAGTGTTTCTAATGCTTTAAATTATAATGTACTAACAAATACTAGCTTTATCATTTTTCTCTTTCCCTATACGTTTTTAACCAAGAGTAAGGGTATTTTTAATGTTTTGTCAAGATATGACTGTAATTTTGCCCATTGATTATAAGTTCACTTTGCATAGTTTTAGCTTGCATAACTGTCTTTTTCCTCAGTCTCTGTCTGCTTTATTTCACTCCATTAAGCAATAAGGCAAAACAGTACTCTTAAAGATCTTATTCATAAAAGATCAAGGAATGCTCCTCATTCTCAAAAGGGACAAAAAGGGTGTTCACAAATACTGCAGCACTTCTTAAATAAATACCATTACATGGTTTTATAAGCCCCAGCAGTTGTGCTCACAGGGCAAACTGAAGTGCATTAAGTAATGAGCGTCTGTTAGCAGCCACTTCTCTCCTAGCCCCAGGCAATCACTAATCTATTTTCTGTCTTTACAAAGATTCGCTCAATCTGGACATTAAATATAAATGGAATTACATAATGTGTGGTCTTTGATGACTGGCCTCTTTTACCTAAGTGCAAAGTTTTCAAGCATGTTGTAGCATTTATTAGTATTTTGTTTCTTTTTACGTCTTTAGCCGTTTTATATGGATATGCTGTATTTTTTGTCCGTTCATCAGTTAATGAATATTTGGGGTTTTTCCACTTCTTTTCCATTGTAAGTAACACTGTACAAACATTTGTTTGCAACTTTTTATGTGGACATACAGGCTTTTCTTTTTCTTGGGTATACACCTAAGAGTGGAGTTATGTGTAACTTTTGAAGAACTATTTTCCGAAGAGTTGCAACACTTTACATTCCCATCTGTAGTATATGAAGCTTCTGTAATTAACAACACTGTTTTGTAACTCTCTGATGCTAAGCCATCCTAGTGGGTGGTTTTGGTTTTTGTTTTGTTTTGAGACAGGGTATTGCTGTATAGTCCAGGCTGTCCTCGAACTGAAGATCCTTCTGCCTCAGTTTCCCAGGTACTGATGGGAGTGTGCCTCCACATCCAGCTCTGATTGTGGTTTTGATCTAAATTTCCCTAATGACTATTGATGTCAAATTCTTTAATATACTTACCATTCATCTGTATATCTACATTCTTTTGCATATGGATATGTATTTGTTTATTTATCTCAACACTATTTGTTGAAGAGGCTGTCCTTTCCCATTTGGGTGGTCTTTTTGACACTCTTGTCTAAGATCATTTGACCATATATCTGAGTGTTTATTTCTGGGCTCTCTATCCTATTCCCTTGGTCTGTTTGTTTTTATGCCAGTACTAAACTTAATTACTGCAGCTTTGTAGTGGTTTTGAAATCGGAGAGTGTGAGTCCTCTAATTTTGTTCCTTTTCTTGAAAATACTTGGTTATTCAGGATCTCATGAGATTACATATGATTTTTTAAAAAGAGATTGCATATGATTTTAAGATCTTAAAGACATCTTTTTAAAATGTCATTGGAATTTTGATAGGATTGAATCTATAGATTATTTTGGGTAGTGGAGACAACTTAATCACAAATTTTTAACACAATACATCACTGTCCCATGTTCAAGTGTAGATTTTTATGATGTGGTTGATGTAGTACACCAATGATTTATTTCCATTGTAATATTTTACCTATTTCAACAATGCAGAAAAGTGTAGAGAATCATCTATTGTTCACTTAATATTTGCATATTGTGTGCCCATCCTCTTTCCAACTATCAAGATATAACATGACATTTTTTTCATTGATACTTTTTCATATTTATATAATACCTCCTTCTTAGAATTACTATTGTAGGGGCATTATATCATTATCATGAATCAAAATGTGAGAAAAAAGTACTCCACCCACAAATAAAGCTATTTTCAACTTTTCCATCCATATTTTTCCCATATGTATACCACATTTGTCCAGTAGCAATTCTGATTAGATGATACATTGTATTCTGCTTCTTTCACTTAATATTATACCATAAGCATTTTGTATACCATAACGTGATCTTTCCCTTTTTTCCAACTGGGTATAAGAAAAGGTCTATCTTAGCCCCTGCAATTTTCTATGTTTGTTTGTTTCTTTCTTTTTTGGTGGTACTAGAGTTTGAACGCAGAGCCTCATGCCTGCCACATGACCCACTCTGCCAGCCCTTTTTTGTGTTGGGTATTTTTGAGATACAGTTTTGCGAATTATTTCTCTGGGCTAGCTGGAACCACGATCCTCCTGATCGTTGCCTCCTGAGCAGCTAGGGTTACAGGCATGAGCCACCAGTGCCCAGCTACTTTCCTGATCCTAATAAAGTTTCCTAAACATAACAGAAGTATCTGGGTGGTGTGGTACACACTTGTAGTCCCTGCTACTTGGGTGGTTGAGGCAAGAGGAATTGCTTGAGCCTAGTTGTTTGCCCAGCCTGGACCTCAACTCAGTGAGACCCTAAATCTTTTTTTTCTTTAAAAAAAAAAAGAAAGAAAGAAAGAAAAGGAAGGAGGGAAAGAAAACTAGTAAGAATGAAAAGAAAACTTGTAATTGTCTAAAAATGGAAATACAATCTACACAAGACTGTTCATAGGATTAAATGTATATTAAAATGTCCTAGATATAGTAGGTCCTTAATAAGTGCTAGTTTCTTTTCCTTTCCTTTCTCCAGGAACCTAGTTTTTATCTTGTTCCTCCAGGGATTACCCTTGGAGAGTCAGCACTTACTCTTATTCCTGCAGACCAAGAAAGACCATCCATATTCCTGGAGAATTGAACTGGCAAAAACAGAAAAATACTGGGATGACTGGTTCCGAGGCTTATCCAATCTCTTTCTTAGTTGTCCTATTCCTAAATTGCTGCTCTTGGCTGGTAAGTGTATGTGTGTGTATTAGCCAACTTGGCTGCCATAACAAAATACCATGGATTGGATGGTTTGAACAACAGATGCACATTTTCTCAGTTCTGGAGGCTGAAAGTCTAAGATCAGACTACCAGTAAGATTGAATTTGGGGAAGAGATCTCTTCCTGGTTTGTAGATAGCTGCCTTCTGTCTGTACTCTCACATGGCCAAGAGGAAGCAAGACCCAGCTCTCTGGTGTCTCTCATAAGGACACTAATCCTATCACATCATTTAGCCATAGTTATCTCCTCATAGGCCCTGTCTTTAAATACAGTCCCATTCGGGGTTCGGACTTCAATATGAATTTTGGGGGACATAGTTCAATCCATCTAGTGTGAGTATATTATCTTCTGGAGGTCACCTCATTAAAACTGCTAGCCAACTGGGTAGTGACTTCCAAAGTAAAGTAATATCCTCACTCATCTGTACCCTTTACCTCTCCATATCCAATCCCTAACCTAACTAAGCATAAGCATCCAAACAGGATGGCCCAAATCTTCCTCCTAACACTATATTCAGTAGGATAAGAATATTCTGAATGTTCTGAGACTCAAAACAGTAAAACCTCATCTTTAAATGAGCACATGACTGCAAACTCTGGGAGTTCGGATTGGCGTTAACATGAATTGAGAATGTCGCCATGTTTACAGCTTTGTAACAGTTTTATTTAGTGTTTGAATAGTAAAATCTATTTCACAGGGCATTTCCTAGTGAGCTACTTACAGATTCTCTTGTTTTGCTCTAGGTGTTGATAGGTTGGATAAAGATCTGATGATTGGCCAGATGCAGGGTAAGTTATCCAGAAATTGTACCCTTTTCTTTCTTTCTTTCTTTCTTTTGCTAATTTTATTTTTAAAATAGTTTTATTATATTTTTGAATTAGCATACATTAATAATACAAGAGGATTTCATTGTAGTGATTCCATACATGCATACAATGTACTTTTTGAACACATTTACCCCATTTCATTGTATTCCCATTCTCTACTTTCTTCCTTTTTCAAAGTGTGTAGTGGATTTCATTATGCTGTCTTCATATATACATATGTAGCATATTTGATCCTCTTCACCCCTCAGTATCCTTTCCTTCTCTCTCCCGCTCCCATATGCTTCCCAGACCATCCACCTTTTGCATTCATGTCCCATTATCATCATTTTAGGTCCAGAATTCACAAATGAGTGAAAACATGTGATACTTGGCCTTTTTGAGCTTGGCTTATCTCATTCAACATCATGTTCTCCAGTTCTGTCCATTTCCCAGCAAATGACATAATTTCATTTTTCTTTATGGCTGAGTAGTATTGTATTATGTATAATTGTTGGACTCCTCAGCTGATTCCACGGTTTAGTTATTGTGAACAGAACTACAATAAACATAGATATGCAATTATCTCTCCTAATATATCGATTTACACTCCTCTGGATATATGCCTTGGACCCTTTTCTGGGGCAAAGAAACAGGCAGTAATGTAAATGGTTAGGTATAATTGAGAGAGCATGAACTTTAGAGTCAAACATATGTTTGACATCCTCCTCTCCTCCTGACTCACCATGATTATAGGCAATATTTCCCTTTTGGAACAGTGATTGTCTTTTTTTCTTCAACTAAAAATGAGAATTATAACTGCCTATGTCTCAATTATAAGGGTTAAAATGAGTCAGTGTGTTTTAAAACCATAAAATATTATGTAGGTATTTAATGTGAACAGAGATGTTCACATTGTTAGAATTTTTTTAGGAAAGGGAAATATCCAAAATAATCCAGATACCAGGGTAAAAAAATCTGTTTAGAAGATAGCATAGTGAGGTGGTAAAAGCAAGGGCTCCAAAGTTGGAAGAAATGGGTTTTGAATATTGTTTTTCTACTAATTTTTTTACCCTGGGCAAGTTACTTGACCCCCCTCAGCTTGAGTCTTGTTGTATAAAATGAGAAAAATCAATGCTAGCCTTAAAGGGATTATGAGGTATAATGAGTAGGAAAGAGACACATTAGGTACTATGCACATGTGGGCCATATGACAGTGGGACCAACTTTCTAGAGTTTCTTGCTTTAGTCTGAGTGAAAGACTTGGTGAAGGTGAAGTCAGCAGGCGTCACAGCTTTGGGGGTTATGGAAGAACTGGTGCCAATTCTGAGATGAAGGTTTCAGGCTTAAGCAAATTTTGTTCTTGACCTTCTTTCTTTTCTACTTAGTTTCCCTGGATGATTTTATGGCTTCCATTTAAACCCTGATTACTCCCAAAGCTATATGTCCTACTTACCCCTGTTTCTTGAGCTCTAGTCCTGGCCCATCAAACTCTGCTTGGATGTCTCTCAAACTGTTCCTTTAGCTTTCCTCAAGTCATCCACACAGAAAATAACTCTGTTCCCTCATAATAGTTCTTCAAAGACTGTTGAATGGCTTACAAAATTCTGTTCCCAGACTCATGTGTCTTTTGCTTTCTGAGACCTGGGGCAGGACCATGAGCTGGGGCTGTGACCTTAATAACACTGTTGGTGGTCACTCTGGGCATAGATATGATGTGCTAAAATTCAATTCAAGCAAAACTTTCCTAAGCCACCTTTTCTGAGCAAGACCTATGCTTGCTGCTGGGGAGATAGAAAACTGACAAGGTCCCTAAGACTCTGAAAGCAATTGACCTTGATTGGAATAGCATTTTAAATCGGTGTTGATCACCAACCAGCCTAGGAATCACAGTCCTGGGGTTGAATCACCATTACTGATTGTGTGGCTTAAATGAATTGCCAACTTCTTTAATCCTGGGTTTTCCATCTATAAAGTGTAGATAGTGATATATCTCAGTACAAGTATATGAGATTCAAATGAGAAGGTTTGGGTTAAGTAAGAATCTGACAAACAATGCCTTTCATTGTGTCCAGCAAGCATATTATAGCTAATATACTTATTAGATGCCCTCCTAATTCTTCAGTGTGGTCTCTGCCAAGACCACCTTGCTGTTGAATAATGTATACCATAGGTATAGAGAGTAATTGACTAGGTTGGGAGTTATAACAGAATAAAGGGAAAAGGCTAAGTCTGCATAGATTCTAAGCCACAGCTTTCCCAGCACTAAGTTCAAATCAGCTGAATTTGTTATGAGATCTTAGAAACCCACCAATTGTTCATGATACAGTTTGGGTAAAAAAATTAGGCAATAGTTTAGGTCTGTGAATTGGGAGAGTTTAGAAATAATCCCACCTCATAGAATAATTGTGAGGATTATTCTGATCGTGTTACTTTATGTGTACCCAGCACAGAGTTATTAGTATGTAGGAATTCTCCCAATTACTTATTTCCACAGTTCCAAAGAGGCTGGTCTAATAGAAAGACCAGAGGGATTGGAGTTACAAGTTTTGGCTCTAGTCATTCATTCATTTATCCAAGACTACTAAGCACCTCTTCAGTGCCCCAGCCCTGTGTTGGGTCCTGTTAGGGATACAAAGCAAACAGTAATTCCTGCCTGTTTATGGAAATGACAAGTTACAAGTGTTAATATCCTCCTCAAAATTTTGGTAATTAGAACCAGAGTTTTGCGGGGGAAGGTCTTGGGCTCCCAAAGTGACCTGTGAGACTGCAGAGATGGTATGGAGAGGACTCTTTAGTCTCTGAGCTTGTCTGGCTTTGTCTCCTCTCCAGGGAAATTCCAGATGCAGGTTTTACCTCAGTGTGGCCATGCAGTGCATGAGGACGCCCCTGACAAGGTGAATGTGGTGCTTAATGACTGTAAAACAGCAACTGTGTGAGTACCGTAGCTGGCAAAGCCCAGGTCTCAGCCCACGTTACCTGCAGCAGCTGCTAGAGGCCTATGCAATTCCACCAGCTTCCCAAGCTCCTTCCTGGCAACTGCCTATGGTGTTAGTTTTGTTTGTCTGGGTTGAGCTGCTGGCACCCTGCTATTTCATCCCAGGACCCTAAAGTTAAGATCTTAAGCTCTGCTTCTTCATTACTCCTAAAGCCAGATGGAAGAAGGATGATTGAGGGTAGAAGCTGTACCCTAAATTCATAGTTAGAAATTAATATGGACTCCTATGGGAAAGGGGTATTCTGTAACTTCTTTTTTTTTTTGGTGCATTGGAGTTTAAACTCAGGGCCTCATGCTTGCTAGGCAGGTGCTATTATTGCTTAAACCACTCCACCAGTCCATTTTGTAATGGGGTAAATAAGCCCATTCTTAATGGGGTAAATCATTCCTCTTGACCTCTCTGGAGCTATCACTAGGATGGAAGGGAGGAGTCTTCTAGCCTATGTCCTTTTGATTTCAAGCTACCTACACTGAGGGGATTTAAGAGGACACAAGGGAGCCTAATCTTCCAACTGAAGCCCACAGGACTTCCAAAGCTAAGCACCATCACTTCATAAGGCCTGGAATATCTCTTCCTTTTCAGGTAGCTGAAGCTGTTGCCACTTTCCTGATCCGGCACAGGTTTGCTGAGCCCATTGGTGGATTCCAGTGGTAAGGATGTACAAGGGTATAAGAGCCCAGAAGTGCTGGTCTATCCTAAGCTCAGGTATTTGCAAGCCTGTGACTGTTTCTGCCTGAGCCCTGCCTAGTCTGGATCACAAAGCCTGTATTCCTCCTCCTCACCACAGAGCCTGGTGTGTGTTTCTACAAAGTCACCCCGATTGTGTGTGCTCTGGTCCAGTGGGGCATTGGCTGCGGTGCAGTCATGCCTTGTCTTCCACCCCCACTGCAATGTACGTTTCTTCTTGAGATGTTCCTTCTCTGAGGTGGCTGGCTGGGATAGCAATCATTCCTTATCCAGAGAGGTCTTGCCTCCTTCTGAGCAGAGCTGGGCAAGACATGGAGTTTGTGTGGAAATGTAGAGCAGTGTTCTCATCTCAGCACTGTTGACATTTTAGGGTGGGTAATTCTTTGTTTTGTGGGGGAAGGCATCTGTCCTGTGCACTGTAGGATGTTTAACCATATCCCTGGCATCTACCTACAAAATGCCAATAGAACCTCCTACACATAGTTCTATCAACCAAAAACGTTTCCAGGTGTCTCAAGGGAAGCAAAAGTGAGAAAACCACTGGTCTTTAGCAAGAAAGTAGACCAGGCCTCTCATCCTAGGAAGCTCTTCATCTGATTAGGGATACATCTGAGTAGTTGGGCTCTTTGTTGAGGAGAAAGGAGAGGCATGTAGACCCAAACCAAGCAGTCCTGGCCTGCCTCCTGAGCTCCTAGTCTGTGTTGCAGAAGGCTCTTGCTCTTCAGAGAGCCAGTAAATCAAATGAGGTGTCACTCTTGGCACTGGACAGCCTCTTTTCTGATTTTGGTGAGGATTCAAGAGAACTTGCTCACCACCCTCATTAGAGTTTGAAGAAGAAATGTTTTCTGCCTTAGACAACTCTGAACACTAGGCCTAGAAGATCAGAATGGACAACAGAGATGATGACAGGAGCCTGGTACAGTGAACCACAAAAGTGACACTCTTATGCTGTACCATCCCTCTAGCAAATGACCCTTGATGGATCCCATGAAGACTTAATTTCACTTAATAAACAGTGTTTGATTGGGGTCCCTGAACCATTTGGAGCTTTGTTCAAATGAGCTATACACTGAGAGCAGACCCTCTGTCTGGATCTGGGTAGAGCTGTGAAGAGATGGGACAGACCAGCAGGGGCCTTGGTGGTCATTAGGAAGCACTTCCTAGAAGAGACAGGATAAGCTGGACGAGGAGGGGAGCTTAAATTTGTTTTCCCTTCTCTTTTCTACTCTTGACAGTGTGTTTCCTGGCTGTTAGTGACCTGCCGTCTTCCCCTCCCTATACATTGAGCTCTGTTGTAAATACGTCGCACCAGAGGCCACTGTGATGCTGCTGTCTCCTTCCTGCCCAGCCACCGGCTCCTTGTAGACAGGCGTCCCCAGATGCACAAACCCTTTTGTGTACACCTGCCAAAAGCATTGTTTTCCAGGGCCCTTGTCCAACATTAGTCTGCCTACTTCAGGGTCTCCAGCTCTTACCCCTAACCTGTAAAGGGGTAGTCCCTGCCTGTTCTCCCTGCCTTGCCTAGGGTAAAGCCTCCAGAACTACCACTCTGGGCTCTGACTCCTGCTGTCAGGCAGTGCACCTGGTTACAAATGTCTCTCCAGGCTCAGGGACCTCCATTCCTTGAGATTGCTCTTGGCACAGTCTTGCCCTCCTCAGGGGATGGACAGTGTACACAGTGGTCCTTATTTTTCCCATTCAAATAAAACACCTGTCAGGTACCTTTTTATCCCAGTCTTATTCTTCCAGGATCGGAAGACCCAGAGAGGCCAAGCACCACAAGAGACCAGCCTGAAAACTAGGTCTAGACAGCCCAAACACCTGGCCTCCCATCTGGGTGAGCCGCTGTTCTCCCACATGTCTGGGCACCTGTCCTGGGCTGAGGCCAGGCTGCTCCAGGGGCCTCTTGAGCCCTTGCTTGCCACAGAGCAACCCAGGTTAAATACAGCCCATGCACAAGCCACAGGCTAACGCCTCTGGAATAGTTTTTAATAATCAAATTTGACCATTTTCATAGTTGTTCCCTGGAGGTGCGCAGAGTACCCGCTTGCCTCTTCTAGACCCACAGCTTCTCGTTGCCGTTTGTGATTTCATGTCACTCTACATAAAAATTACAACCAAGTTGCCCCAGTCTTTGCCTTCGTCCAGCTGCCTCATCACAGCACTGCGGCCTCCTCCTGCTGCCCAGGCACACCATTTCCAAGGGCAGGGAGGGGAGTCTCCTGAAGCCCCTCTTTCTGTGACTGTCTTAGGTGATGTGTAGCCCCTTCCACCTTTCACCCCAACAACTTCCTATCCCTGTCCTGCTGCATGGTCCAGAGTCTGGGACCTACTTTGTTTCTTTGTTATTTATGATCTTGTTTAAAGAAAATAAATATCTCCCAACCTTTATTCTATGGATTTGTTTATTTTTGCTGATCAATGGGCAGGAGGGCAGATAAATTAGACTTAGTTATCACAGAACTCCAAAAACCTCTTGCCCTGTAGGCCATCAGTCACTTATGTTCTGCCTGCTCCCCCAGATCTGACGCCAGTGGAATGGACAGAATCAGTCTTCACTGTAATCCAGGGAACCGATAATCCAGTCCCATCACCTCCATTGGCCAAGAATAGGGCAGTTTGCCTGTGTGACCTCAGTCACTCATGGGTAGCTTCACTGATACCGACACCCAAGCTTTATCCACAGCCCAGATCATCTCCGAGCTCTAGACATGTAGGTCCGCTACCTCCTCATGTCTCTCCCAGGTGACCAAGAGCCACTTCATATTGACCATTTCTTAAACTGACCTCACCTTCTTCCTGAAACTTGTTCTTGCTCTTGTGTTTCATAGGTCAATTAGGGGTAAGTACAACCAAGTCTCCAGTTGTTCAAACCAGACACCTAGAAAACATCCCCTCCCCCCTTTGAGAGACTATTCCCTTTCTTATCCCCATATCCAGTCTGCCACCAAGTCCTGTTTATTCTCTGTATCATGTCCTCCTTTTCCTTCCTACCCTAACCTCTCTCTCACCTAAGTCACTTCAGTACTCTTGCTGGTTTCCTGCTGCAGCCTCTCCCCAGCCCCTTAGGTCATACTGCACACTGGAGTCTCCTAGTAGACTCTGAGTCAGGCTACCTAAACTAGAACCCAAGGCTTACTCCTCACTGGCTGTGTGATGAAGCAGTCTACTTTCTGTGCTGGCATTTTATCATCTGGAAAATGGAGATAAATAGCACCTAACCTGCCACAAGCTGCAGGACTATGTACATTAAAATAGGCCAGCCAGTGCTCTTGCTAACTAGCATGTGGCAAACACTTAATAAATAGTTCCTGTTATGTCACAGCTATGTTACAGACCTTTACTCAGAATAACCCAAGAGGGATTATCATCAGTATCACGTTGGAGGCCTATTACAGATTTTGCCCCCAATCCAAAACTATTGAGTCAGAGTTGATCTGCATCAAACAAGTATGTTAATCTCAATGTAGTTCTGGTCTAGATGTGCCCTGAATATTTCCATGTAAAGTGTGCTCCCTAGCACTTGCTCACAGGAGAGAGTTGACTCCGTCTTTTGGAGTGGCTTTGTGCTGTGTGTTCCCTTGTCCACTGGGGGGCAATATGATCACTTACATGGCTTTCAGGGGCATTTCTGGTACTTTTTGTTCACCAGACAAGTCATAATTATTGAGTTTTGAGTGTCATCCAATTTACTTACATATTTAATCCTCAGAGAAACCCTACATAAGAGTTTCAGGTAGAAAGCAGATCCAAATTCATCTCCAAAATGACAGTGTCAGAGTTGAAACTTAGATTGTTTCTGCATCACACTACCTCCTGAATGATTCAAGAGGCCCTTGGCAGAAGTCATTTGGACCCAGAAACCTGACTTAAAAGGGTAGGAGAAGGGATTGGGTAGGAGAAGGGATTGGGAGCATGGGTCAATTGGTAGAGCCCTGAGTTCAAACCCCAGTACTGCCAAAAACAAAGAGCAGGAAAAAGGTGACCAGGAAAATTAGTCCTATAGGCTTGATGGAAGAAACCTAAGGATGAGTTAAACATTCATTGAGACTGGGCATGGTGGTTAATGCCTATAATCCCAGCTACTCAAGATGCTGAGGTGGTAGGATTGCAGTCCCAGACCAGCCCAGGCAAAAGTGCAAGACTGTATTTGAAAAATAAAGCAAAAAGAGTGAGGTGTGGCTCAAGTGATAGAGTGCTTACCTAGCAAAGTCCTGAGTTAAAACCCCAGTACCACCAAAAAAAAAAAAGTTAATTGAGCTTTGTGTGAAATGCTGTACTAAAGCACTTTCTCCACTCATCTTTTGTATATGTGATAAGTGTCCAAAGTTGAGAGAAGTGAAATGACTTGTCCACGGCCATGACTAAGATGACAGCACCTATGCATTCTGATTCTAAAAGTGCCGGCTACACCAAGGCAGAAGAAAGGGACCATTCCCGAGTTCACTTATGAATCTCTAATGAGTACTCATGACTCACTGATTAAGCAAATGTGAGCACCTCTTCTGTGCCAAGCATCTATTGAGATATTGGAGAGGTAAATAATGAGTCCCTTAAAATTAAATTAATAAGGTTTGGGTATGGTGGGCATGTCTGTAATTCCAGTTACTTGGGAAGTAGTGATAGGAAGATCATAGATGGTGGTTCACAGCTGGCCCAGACAAAATGCGACCCTATTTCAGAAACACGCTTGGCATGGTGGGACATACCAAGCTAGAATCATGGTGTGATCCTAGCTACTCAAGAGGCAGAGGTAGGAGGAGCTCCATCTGAGGCTGGCCCAAGCAAAACTCAGTAAGACCCTATCGGAAAAGCAAACTAAAAACAAAAGGGCTGGAGACTAGCAGGCACAAGGCCCTGAGTTCAATCCCCAGTACCAGAAAACACAAAACAAAACCTTACAGTCTAATGAGACCGTTATAGAAATAGTGACCAAAGTGTTATAAAGGTTATGGGAGAAACAACCTCTTTGGAAAAGGATTGGGAAGGTTTTGCAGAAGTAGCATTCAAGTTGAACCTTGAACTGGTGAAGATAGTTCATTTTGCATAGAGGGAACAGCAGAGACAAGCCTTGGAGACTTGAGAGTTAGTTCAGAACTGGTAAGAAGATTACTATGGCTGGATAATAGGCTGAGACAGGAGATGAGCAGGAGAGGAGATGCAAGAGTTGGAGCATAAAGGCCTTGAGAGGGAAGAATGGGTTTCCAGAAGTTACAGTAGTCAGGGATGTAACAGGATCAGGTTTTTGGTTTTGTTTTGTTTTGTTTTTAAGGAAAGTCACGTGGTAACCTGTATGCATGGGTTGATGGGCACTAGAGTCCAGGTAAAGACAAGGGTATATTAAACTATGACAGAGCCCACAAAGGTGAGAGAAAGGGGTGGTCTCAGTTATTTTGGAGATAGAGTGAACAAGGCAGAAGCTGTATTTGGAGAGAGAGGTCAAAGACCATTAAGTTGGCTTGTGGGGTCTGCCATTAGTCCTGGGGGTCAGGGAGTTAAACTTAGACTTTAACAAGGGAAACACAAGGAGAAAGCCCGTAATAGCAGCAGAGGGAAATAAGGCAGTCCTACTCATTCCTGCACAGTTTTGTTTGCGGTCTTGGAGCCACCTCTTGTCCTGCTTCAGCCAGTCACCTGTCAGCAGCCAGAGTCAATACACTCTCCTGTGGGTACAGGGCTCAGCTAGTTAAGGAAACTCCTGGCATCATTATTCCTTGTGCTGGCTTCCTCTCTCAGCTGTTTGCTAAAAAAACTCCAGCCTGACCTGCACATCCATGTTTATTGCGGCACTATTCACAATAGCCAAGTTATGGAAACAGCCAAGATGCCCCACCACTGACGAATGGATTAAGAAAATGTGGTATCCATACACAATGGAATTTTATGCAGCCATGAAGAAGAATGAAATGTTATCATTCACTGGTAAATGGATGGAATTGGAGAACATCATTCTGAGTGAGGTCAGCCTGGCCCAAAAGACCAAAAATCGTATGTTCTCCCTCATATGTGGACATTAGATCAAGGGCAAACATAACAAGGGGATTGGACTATGAGCACATGATAAAAGCGAGAGCACACAAGGGAGGGGTGAGGATAGGTAAGACACCTAAAAAACTAGCTAGCATTTGTTGCCCTTAACGCAGAGAAACTAAAGCAGATACCTTAAAGCAACTGAGGCCAATAGGAAAAGGGGAACAGGTACTAGAGAAAAGGTTAGATCAAAAAGAATTAACCTAGAAAGTAACACCCACACACAGGAAATCAATGTGAGTCAATGCCCTGTATAGCTATCCTTATCTCAACCAGCAAAAACCCTTGTTCCTTCCTATTATTGC